TATATATATGTGGGGAAGTCTGGACAGAGCAAGGAACAGTAGGAAAAACTGTCTACTACTTTTGAAAAGTGCCATGGTATATAATTTAAATGGCCTTAATCGAATAAGAAATACCACATGTCCAAAGACAACAGGCCTCACTCAAAGTATAAAAGGCTTATTTTAAAAGGTCACTACAATTTAACTAAAATGGCACAGAATTACTAATATTTGTATAGGGCCTGAAATTTAAGTTAGTGTCTAAAAGTAAATTTATGGCACGTCACAACACAGTCATAATCATTGAGGAAAAGGGAAAGAAAACAAGCACTGTTAAAAAGGGAGAACGCAACTGAGGCCACTAGAAGCGGGGGTGGTTAGGAAGAAATTGGTAAAGGGCCACAAAAAATGTTTACATTGTGTAATCATAAAATAAAATAAAAAAAATTTAAAAACAAAAAAAACCAAAACATTTTTGCCTTTGTCCTTCAGTTTTGATATGTAAAGCTCATAATGAAAAGACTGGATGTCAATACACCTGGTTCTAATTTCCACTTCTAATTAGCTATGCTACATTAGACAAGATGCTAACTTCTGAGTTTCATTCAATAAACAACTACTATACACCTTATTTGCAAAGTTATTGAGTTGAGTGATCTGAAAAACCTCATAGTTGTCTGAAAATCAAATGTAAATACGTAATGCAAATTTGTAAATTTATGTAAAAATATAAATTTACTATTTAAGCTACTATATAACTTTTCCTTAATTATTTAGGAATCATTCTTCCCTGAATGAAAGGGAAAATGTATTTATCTTCACAGCCCCTCATAACTCTAAAAATTCAGAATAATTGTGTGAAATTGAGGTTTCAATAGGATTTTACAAATGCCTGAAAAATGTTATTTGTAAATTGTTTATCTCTTCTTCACTGAAAGCACATAAAATAATATCTATAGACCTTGAAACCACTATTAAAAAATTCTATGTTTTTACAGAGTCATTAAACCTATAACATTAAAAAAACCCCACTAACAGTACTTAAAGTAGACAAGAGGTAAAAAGTTTCTTACTTGGATTTGGCTGCAATAACACTTCAGTTTGTTTCATTATTTTTTCTGTCCATATTTTGGTACATTCAGCTTTGCTAAGGAGGTTCTCTAAGTGAGCATCCAATTCTGTCTTCTCTGCCTGGCCAAGCTTTTCTTCTGTGAACTGTTATCAATTATAAAAAAATAAATAAATAAATATACCTCAAATAAATTTTAGGAAACTATATCAATAAGTAAAAAGCAAACTGAAATCCCACCAAGCCTAAACATAAAAATAATAGTGCTCCAGATTTGTTTGTAAGTTATTGCTTATGAACGATTTTTTTTTTTT